AGGACAGAGCAGAGTTTAGGGCTGTTGTACATAGGGTCGCTATGAGTCTCAAGCGACTCGACGACATAGAACAACAACAACAACCCCAACTGATTCTTTTTTTTTATTTAAATTTTTTATAATTATTCTGTGTGTGTACCATCAAATTGTATCTGGCTGGTACAGGAGGAGATTGTCCCTTCTCCAGCAGAACATCTAGTGAATTCAATCTGTTTACCTGTGGGATTGCAGTGCTGCTTGCCACTAGGGCACCAGAGCTCGCCCCCAGCTGATTGTTAATGTGCCTTAAAATTTGAGACTCTTTTATGAAAGAGGAAAGCAGAGGAAACAGAGACTTGTGAAGAAGGCTGAGAAAGAATTGCCAGAGTTAGGAGGAATCTAAGAAGAAATCTGTAATGAAAGTAAAGAGTATTTCAAGAAGATAAATGTGATTGGTGGAGTCTTTTGAGTTTAATAAGTTGAAAGTTAATGTTTCCTGTCAGAAAGAAAAGAGGATGGAAAAGGAAGGTAGACACTAACCCTAGTTTCAGTGAGAGAGTAATGGAACCACTCCTTTTAGAGAATTTATTGGTTTTAATCTGGGATTAATTTATAACTTTAAAAATTGCACAAAAGAAAATATAAACATGTGCACACACACACACACACACACACACACAACTGTTTATTCAATAAATGCCCAAATGTTACACCAGGGTCAGAATATAAAACATAGTGATAAACCCAACCCAAAGTTGTGCTATTGGGTCAAAGAGTAGAAAAATTGATAATAGTCAGATCTTTATTTAAAGGTCTTTTCTGCCAGCTTAGCATTTTCTTGGGTAACAGAAACCATCACAAGTTTCAGGGGTTTTTTTTGTTGTGTAAGCACTGTCTTTGTGGTAGCTTTTGCAGCGCCTTTACTGTAGCAGTTAAGTCTGTAAACTTCATGAACTCTGACTCCCACACCTTCTGCCGTGGAGCAGGTGGGTTAGAATTGTTGACTTGTTTAGCTGCCTAGCCCACAGCCGTAGGGCTCTTCTAGAGCAGGGTCAGTTAGTTTCCTACGTACAGACCCTCACTGATAAAGATGCCTATGTTCCTGGGATGTAGCTACTGGCCCAACTGATAACTTGTATGATTGCCATTCCCTTAGTTTTTCTTTATACCACCTTTGTATATCTACGTAAGGAGATCTTGTGGCAACATAGTTTAAGCATTGAGCTGCAAACTTGAAAGCTGTGCCTAATCCATTAAGCTCATCCATTGAGCTCTTAATTTCATTTACTTTTTCAGTCTTAGACTTTCAGAATCTAGATCTACTTGAGGGAGGAGTTCTGGAGGCATAGTCTGTAATGAGTTGTGCTGCTAACCCTAAAGCTTCATGTCTCCTGTGGTTCAAATCCACAGGCTGCTATGAGGGAGAAAGATGGGTGCTGTCCTCACATTACAGCTTAGAGTCTGGTAAACCTGAGGTAGTGCCACTATGATCAGAACTTATTCAGTGGCAATGAGTGAATGAGATCTACTTGTCTAGTTTACAGAATTTCCAGTTTCCTGTTGAAATGTCCTATGTTTGTTTTATTTGTTTGAGCATTGCAAAGACATCATGCTTGGAAGGGTGGAGGGACAGAGCAGTAGAGGAAGACCCTGGATGAGATGGATTGACTCCACGAGTAGGTGTGCTGGAGATGATGAGATTGGCTGAGGATAGAGCAGGGATCAGAGCTATTATTGTACAAGCAACTCGACAGCACTTAGTAAGAAGCTATATTTTTAAAGTTGTTTGTTTTTTTAATAATTCTAAAATTTTTTTGGACTTTTTGGGTCTGTTCCTATTACTCCTTAAGTATTTGGTTTTGAGTTTTTTCTTTTGCCTATTAGGGAGCTCCGGTAGCCTAGTATGCTGACAAAGGCATGCAATTTGAATCCACCAGTTGCTTTATGGGATAAAGATGGATAATCTCCTTCCGTGCAGTTTATAGTTTCTGAAAACCCCCTGGAAGGTCAGCTATTCAGCTATGAGTCTATTCAAACTCAATGGCACATAACAATTTTTTTTTCCCTCCTCTGTGCTGGAAAGATATGCCTAGATGAACAAATTGGCTATGCTACAGGATTCTCTATGAGTTCTTGTTTTCTCTTTGTTAAGGAATTCTAGTGGCATAATGCATTATATGCTGCACTGCTAACTGAAAGGTCACCGGTTCACATCCACTAGGTTTTTTGCAGAAGAAAGACAGGCAGTTTCTTCCTGTAAAAATTTACAACCCCAGAAATCTGATAGGTCACAGTAAATCAGAATCAACTTAATGCCAGTGAGTTTGGCTTTGGTTTTTATATGTATTTTTCTTTTTTCCACTAGGTTATTTACAAAATTCTAATACAGATTTGAACAAATTCTTCCTATTTCCCTTACCCCCCACCCATTAAATTGCACAACCCAATGATTAATCCCCTCTTCCTCCTGTACATTACATCCCTCTGCTTCCAGCCTCTCCCACCCCTCCTGGATCCTTATACTCCTTCAACGATAATGGTCTTATACAGTATTTAACCTTGTGGGACTGAGTTAGTTTGTATATATTTTTCTGATAATTCCTTATAAAATTATATCTTGTGAGCTTTTTAATGCTTAAACAATTTAAAAAGATATTTTTTCTTTATATTTTGTTGTAGTTAGAAATATACACAGCAAATTGTGTACCAATCCAGTAGTTCTTACATGGAAGATAATGTTTTATCAGATATTTTTATTCTTTTTCACTGGATGTTTCCATATTCCTGGAAACAAAGATCTTAGTTTGCTTTTATTCACATTAAACATTTTTATTTTAATATTTTGTTGTGTTTTTAGTTAGTTTGCAAAACAAACTAAGTTCCTATTTAAAGATTTCTACATATACCTGGGATACATCAAGATCATGAAAGTGGTTTTCCCAGAGCAAGGCTTATCCATTGCACTCCAGATGTGCTTATCCCTGCTATCCATTCCCAGATGTGAAAGACTTGACTGCATGATCTGTGGTAATGGGAGACTGGGTTTGTGCTTTGCCCTAAAAGAAACATTTTTAAAAAAAGGGGGGGGGGGGTTCAAGATACATTGTTTGGGGCAAATTGCCAAGAGGGGCCACTCTTTAGAAGGTGGCCTCAAACTTGGAAAGACGAGGGGGCTCAGAAGGAGAGGAAGACCTTCAGGAAGGTGTCTGCCAGAGACTGCAGCAGTGGCCCTAAGCCCAGAGGATATTGTGAGCATGGTGCCAGGTCAGGCAGGGTACATATCTGTCATACATAGGGTCTCATGAGTCACAGTTCACTGGACAGCACCTTGCATAAACCCATGGCACATACATTGTTTGCTAAAATGAGTTACATTTTCACACTGTGTCAACATGCTCATAGTTCCTTTCTGGTCATTCCACATATAGTAATCTAGCTTCTGTGCCTACGCCTTACCTTTTGTATTTGTTTTAAGGTAAATGTTGACCATTTAATCTCATAGTTGATTTTTTTAAAGAGCTCAGTACTCATGGATGATATTTTTATCTCACGAGCCAGTATGTTATATAGCTAAAAAATGGCCTTAGATAATGGTTTCAGTATAAAGTTTACAGAATTTCTCAGAGTGATAGTCTTGAGAATTCTTTCAATTTCTACTAGTCTAGAAAGTGGCCTTATTAAAGAATTTGCGTTTAGTTCCATATGTTTCTCCCAGTCTGCCTGGGACTTCAGTTATGCCCCTGGTGGTCTGAATGGTCAGCAGTAATAGCTGGACACCAATTAGTTTTCCTGGTCTCAAGAGAGATGAGATCATGATCTGTGTAGGCTGTTAGTCCTGTAGACTAGTTTCTTCTTTGACTCGAGTTTCTTTCTCTTTTATGTCAGACAAATAGATACTAATAGTTGTATCTTAAATGGCTAAAAAAAAAAAAAATGGCTGCTTGCAATGTGTTAAGCACTTTATTCTACATTCTGAACCATCTCCCGTCCAACATCAAGTCTGTATCTTAATCACTGTGCCTGACATATGATTGGTCTTAGGAAATGTTTCTTGTTTGTTTGACAGGCAACTGATGAGGAGGGGCAGATGAAAAGGTGGGTAACTAGTTAGAAAAAGGCCCCTATGCTTATCTTCATCACACAGTTTTTCCTTTGCTAGGAGAAACCACCCCCAAATATAGGCAAACAAAATCTCCATGCTCAAAATTTCCCAGAAGCATAGCAAACCATCGTTCTCAGAGACGCCTCTATTTATTCTTATCTCTCTGGACATAGAAGGAGCTTCAAGAACAAGGGGAGATCAGAGTCATCCAGCTGGGCTTCGACTTGGATGCCCATGGGATTATCTTCACTGAAGACTACAGGACCAAAGTGCGTACGTCCGTGGGGATGTGTGTGTGTGTCTTGGACTGGAGTAGGGACAACAGTATTAGGGAACAGGTATATAAGAAGGGATATAAGGTTCTGGTAAGTAATACTATGAGAAAGGAGAGAGGAAGAAGAGAAGGTGTGAGAGGTTGAAGGACACAAGCAAGAGGAGTAAAAGTGGGCAGAGCAGTGTTGTTCTTGGAGGTTGGTGGAGGCCAGAACGGGGCCAGACCATGTCTCCTTTTTCTGTTCCAGGTTCTTAAGGCCTGCAGTGGTCGACCATATGCTGGGGCAGTGCAGAAGTTCCTGTCTTCAGTGCTTCCAGCCTGTGGAGATCTTAGCTTCCAGCAGGACCAGATGACGCACACCTTTGGCTTCAAGGACCCAGAGATCACGTGAGACTTGGGATAACAACATTGTCAAGCATCTGGCCCTTCCTTTCTGTCCTTTTCTAGTGCTGTCCAGCCGTGTCCTTCTCCTTTTAGTGAACCAGCCAAAGAGGCTGGCCCTTCTTTCTAGTAAAGTGACTTAAGTTTGTACCCCTTTGTCCAAGAGAGGTGGGAGTTCTGGTGGCCGAGTGGTAAGAAATTGCACTGCCAATCGAAAGGTGCATAGTTTGAATCCATGTATCCTCCCAGGCAACTTACTGCTTCTGAAAACCTGCTGGAGTTGGTTCCATCTTGATGGTACCCAAAACAAAAACAACAACAGCAGCAACATCCAAGAGAGGAGACCTGTCTTTTACCTGAGGTCTTGAAAAAAAACCAAACCTGCATAGCCAATCCAGTGCATACAGAGGCCTGCCAGAAACCATAAATGCTTTCCATAAGCCATGTTACAACTAAAGATAGAGAATGGAAACTAGGCAATTGAACAGAAATATAATTTTTGAGAGGCTGTATTTGGCTTATGCTTCCTATGCAACCCATGGCATGAGTAGAAGCATTTTGTAACCTGCACAGAACTGATGATCTGAGAGGAAGCAGACCTGCACTTGTGTACTTGAGTGACACTTGGTGGGATGTGTGTGGCAGTAGTGGGATCACGGAAATATGATCCTGGGGAAGTCTTCCTGGGAGTAGGAGTGAGAGTGTGTTGGGATGGTCGCCAAGAAGGGCTTCCAAGAGGAAAAGCTGTTTCATAAATGAGTAATTGTTGTTGTTACATACCATTGAATATAACTCATAGCCACTCTATGAACAACACATCTGAACTGTGGCCTGTCCTGTGACATCCTTATCATCTCTGAAACACGTGAGCCCGTTGATACAGTCACTGTGCCAATCCATCTCATTGAGGGTCTTCCTCGCTTTTGCTGACCCTGCTCTCCTTTCCAAGCATGATGTCCCTTTTCAAGGACTAGCCTCTCCTAGCAACATGCCCAGAACATGTGAGACAGAGCTATTCTTGCATCCGAGGAGCTCTCTGGCTGCTCGTTTTCAGACATACCTGTTTATTCTTTTGGCAGTACATGGGATATTTAGTGCTTTTCTCCCATACCACAACTCAAAGACATCATTTTTTCTCTTGTCATGACAGGGGAAAAAAGTGGGGAGGAGGATAGTCCAGACAGAGGGAGCGAAGAAGCAGGTGTAGGAAGTAGAAGGCGGTGAGGAGAGAGCAGTCCTGGCTAGGGTTTTGTTATGCAAGCCCTCTTGCATAGATACCATTTGTTTCTAGAACTTAGTATCTAGTGTTGTTAAGGGGATGAGTGAGTCAGGAAATGGTTCTTGGAGCCAAGGCCTACTTCTCATGGCTTCTCACTCCCCTCAGGCAGCTGGTAAATGCCGGAGTCCTCACTGTTCGTGATGCTGGGAGCTGGTGGTTAGCTGTGCCTGGAGCCGGGAAATTCATCAAGTATTTTGTTAAAGGTAGCCGCACGGTGCAGCTCAAGCGCTCAACCCTCAAGAACACGTTTTGGATGGCCTCTTAAACCTCTAAGTTTTGTTCACTTTTCTCCTGTCCTGTGCCACCTCTCCCAGGGCGCCAGACTGTCCTTGGCATGGTCCGGAAGGCCAAATACCGGGAGCTACTCTTGTCCGAGCTCCTGAGCCGGCGGGCACCCGTTGCAGTGCGCCTTGGCCTCTCCTACCATGTACATGACCTCATTGGGGCCCAGCTGGTGGACTGGTAAGTCTTGCCCTCCAACCCCTGAGCAGATGACAATATGGCCCAAAGTTGAATTTCATCCCTACTGATCTATAAGCCCCTTGACAAGCCCCTCTTTCATTCTTCTCTGGAATCTCTGGAACTGGGAATGCTCCCTGCCAAGTTCTGAGTTCTCCCCTAATTTTGGGCCTAGATGTCTGACTCCAGTCTTGCCTTTCTCCTGCGCAGTATCCCCACCACATCTGGGACCCTCCTCCGCCTGCCAGAGACCTGAGGATTCTGCTTGTCATTGTTGCACAACCTCCTCACAGTGGGCAAGAGGGGCCCGGAAGTGCAGTCTGTCTTGCTGAGACAGGTCACCTTGGCAAGGCTCAGGAGCTGAGACCGAGTGTTCAGTTCACGTCTGTGCAAAGGGTCATGGTGACTGCTGCTGTTTACATGGGCTATGACCCAGTGGTGGAGTTTGGGCAACGCTTTTGTGTCCTGCCATGAAAGTGGAACCAGAAACTGTGTCAAAGCTGTGTCTGCTCCCATTCATGTAAAGTGCTAATAATGTTTCTCATTCTTGAGATAGGAAGATGGTATTTCTGGGGAGGCGGGTGAAGGAGGGCAGGGTTCTTTTCTCCCTCATGTTGGTGTTGAAACTGTCAAATAAAGTACTTCTGCATGTGAGACTTTCTGGGTGTCCTTTGTTTAATATAATGTGTGTGTTTGAGATGAAACTTAAGTTTAGACCTGGGATTTGCCTCATTGTTCAGAGAGGAGAATGGTAATGTTGGTTCTCCCTGGGATACAAGGAGAGTGTGCCAGATCTCTTAAACCACAGAATGTCTGTCAGGACCTACAACAGGACCCAATGTAAATCCATTTTTATACTGGTAAAACCCAGAAACCGTTGTCTGAAAAACTCTTTGTTTTCTCAGACCCTTTACTCCTCCTGCACATCTGAGCCATGTATAGAGAGCATTTATACACATCTGTACACATACCTGATAGCAAGAAGTGCCCAGGAGATGGGATGAAAGGGGTTAACGGGAAAGACGGGCTCTATCTCTGAGCCAAAATTCCCTCAGACCCAGGAGTCCAGTCTTCCCTACTCCAACCCTGGGCATAGGTCCAGTTCCGTTTCTTAGCTGTCACGTGGTTTCCCAGCTAGATGGGCCAGGGGAGGAGCAAGGTCCATAGTTAACTGCCCAAGCCCTTGGTTGATCAGAAGGGAGCAGGCAGACAGACAGACCTGACCCTTTGTGGATCCTCCAGCCATGAGGCTCCTCTGGGGGCTCCTCTGGGTCTTCAGCTTAATTGCCTTGTCACTGCAGAAACCCAGGTCTTGGGGACAGCATGCTGGGCCCTTGATGGGGGGGACAGGGCTACAATACTCAGCAGTGGGGAAAACAGGTGGAGGGCCAGCCTCATGTCCAGGTGCTCAGCCTCCTCTGTTCTCTCCAGGTTACTCCTGTTTTCTCCTTCTGTGGTTCACCTGGGAGTTCCCCTGTCAGTGGGGGTTCAGCTCCAGGATGTCCCCCAAGGCCAGATAGTGAGAGGATCTGTGTATCTGAGAAATCCCAAAAAGCTGAATGTCCCCTGCTCTCCAAAGGAGGACTTCATTCTCAGCTCAGAAAATCCCTTCACGAAGCTGAGCCTTCAGGTAACCCCTCATTCCCCCTGGCTGCTTTCTGTGGCCTCCCACTCTGCTCCCCTCTGTCTTCTTGTGAAAGTCTTTTCCCTCACTGGCCTCCCTCCTCTCCTTCCACCGTGGCTGCTCTTCCAGTCTGTCTCAATATGTCTGTCCTGTCCTGCTCTTCCCTGTCCTGACAGACTTCTCTGGAAGATTCCAAAAGGTGTGGCCTCAGTCACCTCCTAGGAAACCCTGAGGTGCAGCTGGTAGCCCAGTCACCATGGCTGAAGACCTATCTGTCCAAAAATGTAGACCTTCAGGGGGTCAACCTGCTCTTCACCTCTCGTCGGGGACACATCTTCGTGCAGACCGACCAGCCCGTTTATAACCCTGGCCAGAGGGGTGAGTTATGACCTCAGGACTCCTTCTCAGCCTGCTCAGGACAGATGTGGTGCCCCTTAAGTGAGATAACTCCAAAGAAAGTACCTGTCACTCAAGAGGGTCTTTGGTGCATGTATGTTTCCTGTCTCCTAACTCCTGAGAGGGGAAGTTGAGGTCCACCTTTCCTTTGTGTCTGGTCTCCTTACCTCTCACACCCCACTCTCCAGTCCGGTACCGGGTCTTTGCACTGGATCAAAAGATGCGCCCATCTATTGACACCCTCACAGTCACCGTGGAGGTGAGTCCTGACCTCCCATCTCTTGACCTAGCCACTGATCTGACCTTTCCCCCCTCCAGCCTCCCCTGAGTGCTTCTTCTCCTTGCAGAACTCTCAGGGCCTCCAGGTGCAGAAGAGAGAAGTGTTCTCTCCCACCTCCATCTTCCAGGACATGTTTGTGATCCCAGACATCTCAGAGTGAGTGCTCCCCAAGCCGGGACTGTCCCCAGTATGGCCATCCAATTCCTGTTTGCCACTTCTATTTCTTTCCAGACACCTGGGGATGATTCTCAGCTCCCTGAGCCTCTAGTTTATCCTGTAGTCTTCGTCCCAGGTGGCCTGGCCACTGACTGACTACCTTTGAGTCCCTCTCTGTGTCTGTCCTCAGGCCAGGCATGTGGAAGATCTCAGCCCGATTCTCCGGTGCTTTGGACTCCAACACTAGCACACAGTTTGAGGTGAAGAAATACGGTGAGAGTTGGAGACACAAGGGCCAGGCAGCTTCTTTCCTGAGGAATGTGAGGGGTGGAAGGAAGGGAAGCGGGGTGTGGGGCGTGGGCAGCAGAGCCATGGAGACAGGGGTGATATATCTCGGGGTGGGGGGGAGTCTTTGAAGCCCTTTCAGGAGAGTGTGACCTGCTTTCTCTTTCCTGGGTCAGTTCTTCCCAACTTTGAGGTGAAGATCATTCCTGGAAAACCCTACATCCTGACAGCTCCTGGCTTTCTTGATGAAATCCAGCTAGACATCCAGGCCAAGTAACTGCCCTCCACCCATGTGCAGTGGGAACATGCTGGAGGGCCCTGCATCCCTGCAGGCCCACCTCTCCCTCCCTTCTTAGACTCTTCCTGTGGCCTTCAGTGTTCGGCCCACCCCCTTCCCAGTCTCTCCTTGTCCACAGGTACGTGTATGGCAAGCCAGTACAGGGGGTGTCGTATGTGCGCTTTGGGCTCCTGGGGGAGGATGGTGAGAAGAAATTCCTTCGGGGGCTGGAGAATCAGACCAAGGTAGGAATGGGGTTGTGGGAAGTAAGGGGCATGGAAAGAAAAAAGGGGTGAAGTTGGGAACTAAAGTCTTACCCTATGTCCTGTTTCCTCACTGTCCAGTTGGTGGATGGCCGGTGCCACATTTCTCTCGCAGAGGCCAAGTTCCAGGAGGCTCTGGCAAAGCTAAATATCAGTGCCAATGACCTCCTGGGACTGCGTCTCTACGTTGCAGCGGCCATCATTGAGTCTCCGGGTAAGTGACTACCTCTTGGCATAACACAGACCATGTGTCTGGCCTTTGAGCTGACCCTGCATTCTGTAGTATCAGCACTCCCTCCACAACACACTCACACACACACACACACACACACACCCTCACATGCACACACATACACTCAACACTCCCACATAAATACACACAACACACCACATACACACACATCACATCACATTGCATGTATACATACTCCTCCCACCACACATACACACCCCATACATCATATGCACATCCCCCACATATACACACAAAACAGTCAACACTCCACCACATACATACATACACCCCACTATATGCACACAACACTATACATGTCACACACCCTACACACATAAACATACATGCAACACATCACATTCACATCACATACACGCCACCATACACACCACATACACACTCCCCACCACATCACTTACACATTCCACACCACATACAACACACATACATACATGCAACACACATCCCTCATACCCTCACACACCTTCCACCTTCTTCATGGACTCAAAGGTGAGAAAGACTCCCTTCAACTCCATCCATCTCTGTGTAATCCTGCTTCTCAACTAGTCTCAGTGTTTTATTTCTTCTTTGTTCCTTCATTTTAAATTTATCAATTCAATGAACCTGTGTTAGGCACCATCTGTGTGCTGAGGCTTGTTGTTTTATTGTTGTCAGGGGCCATCAAGTTGACTCTGACTTGTAGCAGCCCCATATGACAGAGCACAACTGCCCCGTAGTGTTTCCCAGGCTATAATCTTTAAGGGAACAGATTGACAAATCTTTCTCCCATTGAGTTCTGGGTGGGTTCAAACTGCTAATCTTTTAGTTCACAGAGTGCTTAACTATTGTGCCATGCTGTTGGTATGTACCACTGAGTCAGAACTGACCCATAGTGGGCCCTCCAGTTGGTTTTCAGAGGCAGTAAATTTCACAGGAGGAGACTGCCCATTTTACTTCTGCGAAGGAGCTAGTAGATTTGAACTCTGTGCCTTCGGGTTGGTGAATGGCTCCCTACCACTAGGCTACCAGAGCATTCTCTTGTACCCCAGGGGCACCTAGAAGCCTGAGTTTTGGTCTTTGAGAGGTTCACCTTCTCTCCCCTCACATTCCTGCTCCTCGTTCTCCCACGCGCTCCCTGATTTTGGTTCCTATTTCTCTACTCCTGTGTCTTGCAGGGGGAGAGCTGGAGGAGGCAGAGCTTACATCTTGGCGTTTTGTGTCATCCCCTTTTCTCTTGGATCTTAGTAACACCAAGCGCCAGTTTCTGCCTGGAGTCCCCTTTCTTCTGCAGGTTCCTTTTGGGCAAGGACGGGAGTGTGGAGGAGGTGGGGGAGGCGAGGATGTTGTCAAGGGCAGAGATTAGGAAGAAAGGAGATCCCTTCGCTCTCTGTTGTTTCCCTTCTCCATGGCCTCTTTCATTTGCCCCTCTCCATACACAAAGGCTCGAGTTCGTGATGTGTTGGGCTCCCCGGCTGCTAACGTTCCCGTCAAAGTTTTTGCCAAGTTGTCTTCTCCTGGTTCTGCTTCTAAAATGCCAGACTTTGACAGGAACACAGATGAGAGTGGCCAAGTGAGCATTCTCATCAACATCCCTCAGAACACACAGGAGCTGCAGCTCTCGGTGAGATTCCTCCACCCAGCCCTTCCCTTTGGGAAAGAGTGGGGAAGGAGGGGGAGCTGCGTTCCTGGGGCCACATGTCCGGGGAGGAGACAGAAGAGCTCAAGACCGTGTCCTTGTCACTGAACCTCACCTGCCTGGCCTCTCCCTTCAGGTATCTGCAGGCTCTCCCTATCCAGATGTAGTCAAGTTCACCGTGACGGCCCAATCCTCACAAGGCTCGGGGTTTCTGTCTATTGAACGCCTGCAGTTTCAGCCCCCACAAATTGGAGACACCTTCAACCTGAACCTTCGAGCTGTGGGCATCAGTGGGGCTACCTTTTCTCATTTCTACTACATGGTATGCACAAGAGAGGAGGGCAGAGGGTGGGGCTGCAAGGGTGGTCTCTGGCAGGAGGTGATCTCTCTGGGGGGGATTGGCTGCAGGGCTGGGGATGTGCTTAGGAGAGTATACCTTTCTCGGCTCAGATCCTATCCCGGGGTGAGATCATGTCCTTGAACCGAGAGCCGAGGAGGACTGTGACCACTGTCTCTGTGTTTGTGGACCATCACTTGGCCCCCTCATTCTACTTTGTGGCCTTCTACTACCATGGGAGCACCCTTGTCGCCAACTCCCTGCGAGTGGACGTCCAGGCTGGGGCTTGTGAGGGCAAGGTAACAGAGGAGTTGGGATATGGGTATTGTGTTTGTGAATTTTAGTTTCCCAGTGCTCTGGTGGCCTAGTAGTAAGGAGCTGCACTGCCAGCCCAAAAGCATGTGGTTCGAAGCCACTAGCTGCTTCAAGGGAAAAAGGTGAGCAGTCGCTTCCCCTGTGAATTACGGCCTCTAAAACCTTGCTAAGGGATTAGTTGTGGGCTGGTTCCAGCTTGATGGTACGTAACAACTACGTTGCTGTAACAGAAATGGCACATATGGTGGATTTAAAGTACTAGAACTCATTTTCTCACATTTCTGGAGGCTGGAAGTTTAAAATCTGTCTGTTCACTCTTGGGGTGATGAGGATGGAGGGGTCCTTGGTACAGTGACTCACGGTTTGGTTCTGGATCTCCACATGGCATTGGTCTTTCCCCCATTTGCCCTTCCTTGCCTTTGTGTTGTGCTGCTGTTTCTAATTCAGAAATGCTGAGGTTTAAGGTATAAGTTGACATTCATAGGCCCTCATTAACTTGACAAAGAAAGCCCTCTTCCGAAATAGCATTATATTCCTTGGTAGAAGGGTTAAGATTCCAGCACATATTCAGGTGTGGGGAGGGGGCCAATATTAAATCCCTAACAAGGAGCTACAAGACAAGGCCGGGTGATTGCACACCACACATGGGTATTTTTTGGAGTGCCGCTGAGGACACACAGGGCCAAAAACCACTCTCCTGCCTTGCTTGTCCTCTCTCGCCTTTGCCAGCTGGAGCTGAATGTTGACAATGCCAAGGAGTATCGTCCTGGGGAGACTGTCAAGCTCCACCTACAAACAGACTCCCCAGCCATGGTGGCACTGGGAGCTGTGGACACGGCCCTGTATGCTGTGGGGGGCAAGTCCCACAAACCCCTCAATATGGGCAAGGTGTGTCTAGACTGTCCTCCAGTCCAGTCCCTTCCCCTTGGTACCTCATATCCTCTCCCATCCTGTCCGTTTATGTCTGAGCCAGGTCCTCGGGTCTCCCCAGCTCCCTGCAGATGCCCACTAGTCTTCCTGCAGACCTCCGGCCTCCTCCACAGCTTCTCTTGCCCCTCGATCTGTTTCCTGCCCTCCTTATCCCTCTTGTGTCTGTTCGTATTCTGCCCTCTCACCCCCAGCCCCGTCCTGCCCCTCAGCCACACTGGGGTCCACAACACTCGTGCCTTTTCTTGCCAGGTCTTCGAAGCTGTAAACACTTATGACCTTGGCTGTGGCCCTGGTGGTGGGGACACTGCCCTTCAGGTGTTTGAGGCTGCGGGTCTGGCCTTTTCTGATGGAGCACTCTTGACCTCAGTCAGAAAAAGTGAGAGCAGAGGAGGAAGAGGAGTGGTGTGGGATAAGGAAGGAGGCTGGTCCTGAGAGGGTGTCGTGGGAAGGGAGGGGAATGGCCTCCTACCCGTCCTTCCTCCGTGCCCTCTATCGCAGCAGCCCTTTTCTCTTAATAGGTCTGAAGTGCCCCAAGGAGAAAACCCGGAAAAAAAGAAATGTGACCTTCCAAAAGGCCATTAGTGAGAAATGTAAGTTACGGGTATTTACAAATCAGTGTAAACTCTTCTCTTAAGGCCATTGGTCAGTGTGGGAGTCTGCTTCTTGTTCCCTCAGCTCCCCAGAGAGCCAGCCCATGGGTTGAATTTGGGGCCCAAGCTCTAGGGTTGAGGGTGGATGGGCAGGTGACTCCCTCTGCCTCTTTTGAATTCCTACTCTCTAAATTCCTACTTCTTGGTAGGGTAGAGGGACAGTGCAGGAGGGGAAGACCTCTATGAGGTGGATTGATTCAGTGACTGGGGTAATCGGGATGGGAGTGTCAGAGGCAGTGCGATTGGCACAGGATAGAGCAGGGTTTAGGGCTGTTGTACATAGGGTCACTATGAGTCGCAAACGAGTCGACAGCACATAACAACAACAATAACAACAACTCTCTAAAGGGTGAGTCCGTGTGGATGCAGGGTCTGGCAGGGCGTGAAATATGCATCCTTCTCACATCCTGGGCTGACCTTCAGCCTGGTCTTGCAGTGGGCCAGTATACGTCCCCAGAAGCCAGACGCTGCTGCCAGGATGGGCTGACCCGGCTGCCCATGGCACGCTCCTGTGAGCAGCGGGCAGCCCGCGTGCGGCAGCCAGCCTGCCAGGTGCCCTTCCTGTCCTGCTGCCAGTTTGCTGAGAAGCTGCGCAAGACCCTCCATACCCAGGACCCCACGAACTTTGCCCGAGGTCAGGAGCTTGGCAGCCCGAGGGGCAGGAGCGGACCTGGGAGGGCGGGTAGCGCCTTCCTCACTTCCCTCCTCTGGTACCCTAGCCATGCAGATGCTGCAGGAGGAGGAGCTGATAGAAGAGGATGACATCCCTGTGCGTAGCTTCTTCCCAGAGAATTGGCTCTGGAAACTGGAGAAAGTGGACCGCTCCTTGACGTGAGGGCTTAGGGGAATGACCTTGACTCTTGGCTGTGTGTGGCACCAGCCCTGGGTGTGATGGTGTCTTCATCTTTCCTGCTGCAGATTGAAGGAGATCCTGCCTGACTCCATAACCACGTGGGAGATCCACGGTGTGAGCCTGTCCCAGAGTAAAGGTGACGTCCCAGTTCTCATTTGCCTTCGGCCTGACAGCCCGACTTAACTCTTTTGCTGTTAGAAGAGGGAGAAGGTCCAGGTTGTTGGGAAAGTCTCTACCTGGCATCTATCCGGGATCTTTATCTCTTTGGAGGTAAAGATGATGATGCTTCGTCTCACATACTTTGGGCACGTTGCTAAGAGAGGCTATTTCTCAGAGAGGGAGATCATGCTGGAAAGGTCACTGAAAGAGATGAAGACCCTTCATGAGATGGATTGACAGAGTGACTGCAGCAAGGCACTCAAGTGTGTCAGGGATGATGAGGCTGGCGCAGGATGGGACAGGGTTCAGCACTGTTGATCACTATTGAGATGTATTTAACTTGACAGCACCTAACAACAGCAACAACAGCTTCCGTCTGGGCTGTGAGGCTAACAGCAGTAGCTTCTGCTGGTGGAATATGTAATAATGGACACCCTCTGCCCTGCTCTTCTTGCACTCTGTGGCCTTGATGCCCCTTGACCTCTGATCTCCCACATGACCTCTGCGCAGGCATATGTGTGGCTACACCAGCCCAACTGCGAGTGTTCCGTGACTTCCACCTGCACCTCCGCCTGCCCACCGCTGTCCGCCGCTTCGAGCAGCTCGAGCTGCGACCTGTGCTCTACAATTACCAGCCTACAGACCTGACTGTGAGCACCTGAACACAGAGGGCTGGGGGAGAGGGCTCTGGGGGGCCTGGGGAAGGGAGCGGGAAGGGGCAGAGAGCCTACCTGTGCAGAGCTCTGACCGCCCTGTCTTCTTCTTCCTACCCCCAGGTGAGCGTCCATGTAGCCCCAGTGGAGGGATTGTGTCTGGCTGGGGGTGGAGGGCTGGCCCAGCAAGTGCTGGTGCCTGCTGGCTCGGCCCGGCCTGTGGCCTTCTCCATGGTGCCCATGTCAGCTGCTGCTGTGCCCCTGAAGGTGGTGGCTCGAGGATCCTTCGATTTCCCCATGGGGGATGCAGTGTCTAAGATTCTGCAAATTGAGGTGACTAGAGCACCCCTGACTCTGATCACCAGGCTCCCAGACTTACGCCCCAGCATGCTCAGGGCCAACCCAACCAAGGCTCCAAAACCCAAACACAACAACTCCATCCCCAGAGTTCAAACTCAAAGGCCTCAGGAGTCCACACTGGGAGGGGCCAGGCTCGGGGTGCTGTGTAACCTCTCACGGCCTCATTTCTCCTGAGACAGAAGGAAGGGGCCATCGTCAGGGAAGAACTTGTCTATCAACTCAACCCCCTGGGTGAGTGCCCTTCCTGCCCTCACGGCTCACTATCAGCATTTTCCTAAGGATGTTGGGGTGATGACGGGGAGCAGGGGGGTTGTGGGCAGCGTGGCAGGCTGCCAACTCTCCTGTCTCCTCAGACAATCGAGCCCGCACTTTGGAAATTCCTGGCAACTCCGATCCCAACATTATCCCTGACGGAGACTTCAGCAGCTTTGTCAGGGTCACAGGTGTGTCCTCCAACCCTTTCCAGAGGTCGCCTCACATTGATGTGGAAACTGTAGGTCTCTGCTTGCCCTGAGTCCTCAAACCTCCTCCCTGATCCTCCCCCTCTCCTCCCTCTAGCCTCAGATCCCCTGGACACTTTTGGCTCTGAGGGTGCTTTGTCCTCAGGAGGCCTGGCCTCCCTGCTGAGGATGCCCCATGGCTGTGGGGAGCAAACCATGACCTACTTGGCACCTACGCTAGCTGCTTCCCGCTACCTGGACAAGACAGAGCAGTGGAGCACGCTGCCCCCTGAGACCAAGGATCATGCCGTGGATCTGATCCAGAAAGGTCTGGGTTGGGGCAAGTGGGAACTGGGACCAGGGGACATTTGAAGGAAGATGGGAAGCCCAGGGAACTGGAGAGGCGAAGAATGAGACAAACAGTGGAAGTGGGAAGCACATTCCCAAGCCCACATTGCAGGAAAATAGGATTCGCCTCACCAGCTGCCTCTGCCTTCCAGGCTACATGCGGATCCAACAGTTCCGGAAATCAGATGGTTCCTTTGCGGCTTGGTTACACCGGGACAGCAGCACCTGGTAAGGCTAGAAGGGTGATTCTGCATGGGGCACAGGCTGGTGACGATAGTGCCATGTCCAGTGAGGTGGGAGAGCAGTTAAATGCCTGGGACAGCAGCGATGTACCCCCCTCCAGGGACTAGTCCCTATCCCCACTGTCCCTTTGACCTCTCTAGGCTCACAGCCTTTGTGCTGAAGATCCTGACTTTGGCCCAGGAGCAAGTGGGTGGCACGTCTGACAAGCTGCAGGAGACGGCCAGGTGGCTGCTGTTGCAGCAGCAGGCTGATGGTTCCTTCTATGACCCCTGTCCCGTGTTGCACAGGGCCATGCAGGTGCAGGACGGGAGGTGGAGCCAAGACGCTCTGGTGGGGACATCCTCTTAGCCTTCCCCGTCCCTGATTGACACTGTGTGTCTTCCCTCCTCTCTCCAGGGGGGCTTGGTGGGGGATGATGAGACCGTGGCACTCACAGCCTTCGTGGTCATTGCCCTTCATCACGGCCTGGACAACTTCCAGGACAACAGTGCCGAGGAGTTGAAGCAGAGGGTGGTAAGCACCTCAGTGTCTGACCGCTTCACTGGCCTCCAGCCCTTCCCACAGTCCTTTTTCCTTAGGAATCCAGGTGTCCAGCCCCAGACTTACTTCCTCCCTTTCTCATACTAGCAAAACTCCATCTCAAATGCAAACGCTTTCTTGGGGAAACAAGCAAGTGCTGGGCTCCTGGGATCCCACGCTGCTGCCATCACAGCCTATGCCCTGACGTTGTCCAAGGCCCCCCAGGATCTGCAGAATGTAGCCCACAACAACCTCATGGCCATGGCTCAGGAGATAGGCGGTGAGCAATAAAGGGAACCTGGGGCTAAGTGGACCCTGGACCCGTGTGTGTCCCTAAAGGGAGAGCTGGAGTAACTTCAGAAGCAATTGAAAGTATAGGCCATGCTGGCTGAGGTAAAGCAAGAGAGTCTTTGGATGACTCAGGTCCCCCCCATCCTTCTGTGGTCTCTCTTCCCTGCAGATTACCTGTACTGGGGCACAGTCGCTGGGTCTCAGGACAACGTCGTGTCACCCACCCTGGCTCCCCGCAGTCCCACAGACCCCGTGCCTCAGGCCCCGGCGGTGTGGATTGAAACCACCGCCTATGGCCTGCTGCACCTGCTGCTTCGGGAGGGCAAGGCCGAGATGGCTGACCAGGCTGCAGCCTGGCTCAACCACCAGGCCGGCTACCAGGGGGGGTTCCGCAGCACCCAGGTAGGTAATGCTCCGACACGGGTCGGGGGGGCTGGTGGATGGTTCTGAAACTGAGCACTGAGTCCTGGTGCCCTCTCCCCAGGACACGATCATCGCCCTGGATGCCCTGTCCGACTACTGGATTGCCTCCCACACCACGGAGGAGAAGGAGATCAACGTGACCCTCAGCTCCACTGACCGGAGTGGCTTCAAGTCCCATGTGGTCCAGCTGAAGAACCACGAAGGCCTGGAGGAGGAGCTGAAGGTGGCTCTTTCCCTCTTGGGTTGTCACCATATCCTTGTGGGGAGGAGGCTGTTGGGTGCTCTTGGGGGAGTTATCTAGCCCCTAAGCATCATTTCTGTCAGCAGCAAAATAGCATCTGGCTGCCTGGAAAGTTTTATGAGCCTAAGATGAGGTGATGAGGTTACAGGAAGGGTCAGTGGTGTGAAATGTGATGTGAGGAGAAGAAAAGGGATAGTTTTAGAAAGGAGATGAGTTGAAGCAATGAATATCTTTTTCTGGACCCTCTGACATCTTGTTCCCTTCTCTGTTCTTGAAAGTTTTCTTTGGGCAGCAAGATTAATGTGAATGTGGGAGGAAACAGCAAGGGAACCTTGAAGGTGAGAGCCGCGGTTGTGTGGATACTTTTGCTGACATGTGTCGAGCAGGGCGGAGGGAGGCTGAGGTGGGGTTTTGAGGGAGAACTGAGCTCAGTGGTGGGGGAGAAGGTATCCGGGTTTGGTGCTGCTGTGCTTTTGCCCTGAGCGTTTCCCTCTTCACTCTGGTCTTGGCTGTCTCCGGACAACTGTCGTGCCCATGATGCCCCTCAGCTCCGGCTCCTTCCACAGCTCCATCTCTCACATCATCCTCAGAAACAGCACAGCCTCAACCCCTTCTCCTGTGCCCTGGCTGGCTGATGAAAGCTCCTGCTACCAGCCACCTCTCTGGAGGTTACCTCTGGGCCTCCTTCTTCTGAACCCCTCCTGAATCGCAGCCACTCCTCCTGCTGTCCGTGGCCTAGTCACTGTGTCCTGGAATAAGGCCATCTTGTCACTTCACCCTATCCCCAGTCTCACCAACTCCAATCCATGTTCTCACTGGAGCGAGATAGACCTGAAAACCCAAGTGTTGTCAGCCTGGGAGCCAAGTGACACTCCTCTCCAGGCTCCTGTGATCAGGCACCTGCCAGCCTCCCAGCCAGCCCCTCTCATCCACCCAGCCCCAGCCCTGAATGTGCTTCTGCTGCTTCTCCTCCTGCGAGCTCATCCTCGCCCCGCGAGCCTCCCTGTGGCATCCTGTGCCTTTTCATCTCTGTCCTTCCGTCTTTCCCACCACCTGTGTTTGGATTTGGCACTTGCCTGTGTTTATAGACTGTTTAGTGATTTATACAAGTGGGGCAGGAGGCCTCACATCTCTAAATCTAGGCAGAAACCCTTATCTGTGGCTTAGAGAGAGGTCTACGGCCCCAACCATCCTGTGTTCTCTCCCCACCCTCTTGCTGAGCCAGATCCTCCGTTCCTACAATGTCCTGAACATGAAGAACACGACCTGCCAGGATCTTCATATTGAAGTGACAGTCATGGGCCATGTTGAATACATGCGTGAGTGTTGGTGTTAGGATGCCCTGGGGGCATCCAGGGGTCGGGGCCAGAGGCCAAGCGGCTGGCCAAGCCCCTCCTCACCACGCCATCCCTGGACAGGGCAAGCGAATGAGGACTATGAGGACTATGAGTATGATGAGTTTCCAGCTGGGGACGACCCAGAAGCCCATCCGCAGCCTGTGACACCCCTGCAGCTGTTTGAGGGACGGAGGAACCGTCGGAGGAGGGAGGTGCCCAAGGTGGTGGAGGAGCAGGAGTCCCGTGTGCAGTACACAGTGTGCATCTGGTGAGCTGGGCTGTGCTAGACGTCGGGGCTGGTGCTGGATGAGCATAGGGAGGGTAGGACCAGGCAGGCTGTGGTCCCTGTACCTCCAGTTACAGAGAGAACCTGGAGAATGCTCACGTCTCTCTGCAGGCGCAGTGGCAAGTTGGGGCTCTCTGGCATGGCCATCGCAGATGTTACCCTCCTGAGTGGCTTCCACGCCCTTCGAGCTGACCTAGAAAAGGTATTGTCAACTGCCCAGCAGACCTCTGCCCTTGGCATCCCTCCCTCACCCCCAGAGCACCACCCAGGGGCTGCACCCTGCCAGGCTGACCTCCCTGTCACCACTTCCCCTCCCCCACAGCTGACCTCTCTCTCCGACCGTTATGTGAGTCACTTTGAGACCGAGGGGCCCCACGTCCTGCTCTACTTTGACTCGGTGAGTGGGGAGAGTTGACACAAGAGGGGGCCAGGCGTCTGGGCTCACAGAGTCACTGTTCTGTGCTTTCTCAGCAAATGGCTCTCAAGGGCTGTGGTAGGAGCAGGTAGACTGGACAAGAGTGTGAATTAGCAGTGGCCTTTAAGCACCAGACTGTGGGGGCAGGTCCTGCAGGAGGCCCCCAACATGAGATGGAGGCCAGTTCCAGTAGCAGGAAGGGAAAGTCAGGGCTGTAGAGCGAGTCTTTCACAGAGCTGATTTTATACTTCTTTAGGAGTCCCTGGTTGTACAAATGGTTTGTTCTTAACTAGTAACGTCAAAGTTGGTAGTTTGAGGCAAGCTCTGGTGGCCTAGTGGCAAGAAACTGCACTGCAATCCCAGAGGTGCGCAGTTTGAATCCACCAGATGCTCTGCTGGAGAAGGAGGGACAATCAATCTCAATCTCCTTCTGTACCAGACAGATCAGATTTGATAGTATGCAAACAAAATAATAATATAATAAAAATAAAAAGTTGGTAGTTTGAGCCCCCCCAGTGGCTCCTCAGGAGAAAAGTCTACTTTCATAAACGCAACTGTCAAGAGAATGTTATGGGGTGGGTCTACTCCGTAACAACAGGATCTCCATGAGATGGGATTGACTCTATGCCAGTGGGTTTGGTCTGAATCTTTTGTTATTGAGAGTATGGCCTTTGTAATTGTTGAATTTATTTGTTTTTTTCCTTTTTTTGAAAGCAATTTTTTTCCATACATTCATATTTTTCTTTTAAATGATTGCTACAATATCTTGTCATATTTTTATCTTTTTCTCTAGAATTAAATTTTCTTGTTTGTTTTTTTTTTCTTGTTGTGTACCGTTGAGTTGGCTCCGACTAGCATAGGAGGAGATTGCCCCTCCTTCTCGGTGGATTTGAACCACCAGCCTTCAGGATTGCAGCACAGCTTCTTACAACTAGGCCACCAGAGATCCCTAATTTTCATTCTTGAGTAATGCATGTACATCAAACAGCACCAAAGGCTTGAAAGATGGGTGGCAGTTCTTTGCTGTCTTTGTTTTTTTTTTTCATTATTATTATTGTGTGTGTGTGTGTGTGTACCGTCAGATCAGATCTGACTGGTACAGGAGGAGATTGTCTTTCCTTTCCCGGCAGAGCATCTGGTGGATTCGAACCATGCTTCTCTGGGATTGCAGTGCAGCTTCTTGCCACTAGGCCACCAGAGCTCCCCCGCTGTCTTTGTTTTTGACATTTAAATGTCTTCTATGAAGTGTTGGTGGTCATAGGTAACAGTTGTTTTTGTCATTTTCACTATCTTATTTGGCTTAATTGGAGAACCAGGGCTACCCTTGGATGGCCCTTGGATGAACCTTTACTGTAACTTCTGTAAGATTATGTGGAAAAGCTCCCAGAAGTTAAAATACAGATTCTCTGGGAGAACACAGGAGAGGAGTGTGGTGGTGACGTTAAGCAGGGGTTTGTGAGCCAAGCAGGAACCCCACCCAGTGTGTGCTGGGGAGATGGCCCTTGAGCAGAGAAGCCTCATTGAAGAGTCTGGGCAGTTGTTGTTGTTGTTGTTTGGTGCTGTCATGTCACCTGCAACCCATAGTGACACTATGTACAGCAGCTCTGAACCCTGCCCTGTCCTGAGCTAGTCTCACTAATTCTGATACACCAACCCCTATTGTCCCAGTCACTGTATCAATCCATTTCATCCGGGGTCTTCGTCTCCTGCTCTGTCCCTTCACCCTTCTGAGCATGATGTCCTTCTCCAAGGACTTGTACCTCCTGGCCACATGCCCAAAGTATGTGAGACTGAACTTCAAATTCCTAGACTCCAAGGAGAAACTTGGTTTCACCTTCTCCAAGACAGACCTATTTGTTTTCTTGGCAGTCCATGGTATGTTCAAGACTCTTCTCCAGCACCACAGGCATCGATTCTTCTTTCATCTTTAGTCATTGTCCAGCTCTCTGATGCATAGCAAGTAATTGTGGAGACCATGGCCTGGATTAGGCATACCTTAGCCTCTAGACTGACATCGTTGCTTTTCAGCACTCTGGAGAGGTCCCTGGTGGCATATTTTCCCAATACAGTTTGTCTTTTGATTTCCTGACTGCTGGCGTTAAGAGTGTTGATTGTGGAGTTGAGTAAGCTGTAATTGTTATTTTTTTTTTTTGTTGTTGTTGGTTACACTTTAATACATCAGAGGGGCTTTGGGGGACAGTGGGGCGCACTCAGTCCTCCTTGGCAGCCGCCTTCCTCATGGCGGCCAGGACGTTGCTGAGTTCTTCTCGCTTCCTCTTGGCGCGGATGTGTGTCCCCACCCTTTTCTTGATGAACTTGAGGGCCCGCTTGTCCTTGGAGACCTTGAGCAGCTCCATGGCGCGTCGCTCGTAGGGCGCGAAGCCACACACTTCCCGGATCATGTCCCGCACGAACTTGGTGTGCTTGGTGAGGCGCCCGCGGTGGCGGCTGTGCCTTGGCTGGCTCACGTTCTTGGTGACTTTGTGGCCCTTGTTGAGGCCCATGGCCATAGGGTAGTGCACTGCCATGGCTGCTACACGTCGACGGCTGCGGCAGCGGAAGTGTAAGCTGTAATTGTTAAAACAACCTCAATCTCTTCTCCATCTATCATGATGCTGCCAAATGCCCAGTGGTGAGAATCTTTGTTTTTCTTTATGTTGAGCTTCAATTCACATTGAAGACTACAGTCCTTGACCTTCTGCAGCAAGTGCTTCGGGTCTTCTTCAGTTTCAGCACGCAAGGTTGTGTCATCTTCATAAAGTAGGTTGTTGATGAGTCTTCCTTCAATCTTGGTGCCACACTCCTTCTCATAAAACCGCGCTCTCTGAATGATCTGTTCTGCATACAGATTGAAAAGGTATAGGGACAGGATGCATCCCTGACACTCTCCTTTCCTGATTTTGAACCATGCAGTGTCTCCCTGCTCTGTTCTGAGGACTGCTTCTTGGTCTAAGTATAGGTTTCACATAAGCATAATCAAGTGTTCTAGGATTCCCATTTTCCTCAAGGTTAGCCACAATTTGTTGTGACTCACACGGTCAAATGCTTTTACATAGTCAATGAAACACAGATAGACATTCTTCTGGTACTCTTTGCTTTCTGCCAAGATCCATCTGATATTAGCAATAATGTCTCTAGTGCCACGACCTCTTCTAAACTCAGCTTGTATTTCTGTTAATTCTCTGTCAGTGTACTGTTCCAGTCATTTCTGGATGATCTACAGCAGGGTTTTGCTAGTGTGTGATATTAGTGATATTGCTTGATAATTTCCACACTCTCTTGAGGCACATTTTTTGGAATGGGAATAATATGCATCTCTTCCAGTCAGTTGGCCAAGTAATTGTCCTCCAGATTTCTTGGCACAACTTGGTGAGCACATGCAGGGCAGCCATCTGTTTGGTGAAATACATCAATTGGTATTCCATCAATTCCTGGGGCTTTATTTTTTGCCAAGTCTTTCAGAACAGCCTGAACTTCCTGCCTCATCACCATTGCCTCTTAATCATATGTTGTTTCTTGAAATTCTTGTGTCAGCCAATTCTTTTTGGTACAGTGACTCCGTATACTCCTTCCATCTTCTTCTTTTTTTTTTTTTTGGTTTTTTTTTCTATAATTATATTTTATTAATTTTCATAAACATTTACAGAGATTTTGGGTTTCCATTCATTCATTGTTGCACTATTTTTTTTCCTTTTTTTTTCTTCTTTTTTTTTCCCATCTTCTTTTAATGCTTCCTAAATCATTCAATATTCTGCCCATAACATCCTTAAGCTTTGCAATGCACAGCTTGAATTTATTCTTCAGTTCCTTCAGTTTAAGAAATGTTGAGAGAGTTCAGCTCTTTTAATTTTCTGACTCCAGCTCCTTGCACATTTCATTATAATACTTTGCCTTGTCTTCCCAAACTGCCTTTTGAAATCTTCTACTCAGCTCCTTAACATCTTGATTTCTTCCCTTTGCTTTGGCTTCTTGGAGCTCTAGTGCAATATTCACAGAGTTCTTCTTTTTTTTTTTTTTTCACAGAGTTCTTCTAACATTCATTTTGGTCGTTTCTTCTTCTTTGTATTGACTTTTTGCATTTTTCATGAATGATATTCTTGATATCCTCCCACACAGCTCATCTGGTCTTTGTTTATTAGTTTTCAAGGTCTCAAACCTATTCCTGAGTTGGTTTTTAAATTCAGCAGGGATAGGCTCAAAATCACATTTTGATTCCTGTGGATATGATTTAACCTTTAGCTTTAATTTGGACTTCCTTATGAGTAGTGGACAGAGCACATGCAAATAAAGAGACAGGAAGACTTCTGGGCAGAGGATTGATGATATGGCTGAGAGAGGACCCGAGTGGGCATGTGGAGAAGGTTCTTACAAAACAGGCAGAGTTACAGCAGGTGGAGGAGATCCCAAACATCCTAAAATGGCAGTGACATGATACAGCAGGTTTGGGTTAGGCAGGGTAGATTTATCAGTCCTGCCCAAATCCTAAGGAAAGGATACAGGTGGGCATTCAGTTTTGGACTTCTCATCCTAAAAGGGGTTTGGGGAAGTCAGAGAATGGTGGAGGCCTCCACCGGGAGGGCAGAGGAGAACTTGGAGTGAATGGGCACCTCTGGGAGGAGGAAGAGAATGTAAGTAACAGTGAGGTCAGAACCAAGGATGGATCTGAAGCTAAGAGGAGAATTTCACTGAGGAAGTGTCTGTGATGGTGACTCTGCAGTGGGTGGGGACACTGAGGAGAGGGAGAAGGCCACCAACTTAGACATGAAATCATCAGAGTCCTTGGGAGCAGTTTTAGCATGCTAGGGGCAGGATGCCAGTAGAATGTGAAGGACTGAACTAGAGATAAAGTCAGCAAGCAAAGGCCAAGGAGATGCACCCCAGCGGCCTGTGGCCCATACAGTGGGTCCTGAATTTTCCTTTTCATCCTGGGCCAGGTCCCCACCTCGAAGGAGTGTGTGGGCTTTGGAGCCGTGCAGGAGGTGGCCGTGGGCCTGGTGCAGCCGGCCAGTGCAGTCCTGTATGACTACTACAACCCTGGTGAGCACGGGGCTGCCCCAGGTGGGGAGGGGCCAGGGAGTGGGGTGCAGCACTCTAGCATTGAGAGAGGTTTGGAGCAGCACGCCACTGTGGACCATCAGGAACCTGGGCAGTGAGGGGAGAGGGCGTCCTGGACCTCCCAGAACTGGGCGGTAGGGAGGCTGGAGGATAGGCACTGAGTCCTAACCTTTCTTCTCTACTTCTCTCCAGAGCACAGATGTTCTGTGTTTTATGGGGCACCAAGTAAGAGCAAACTCCTGTCCAAGTTGTGCTCGGGTGATGTCTGCCAGTGTGCTGAGGGTAAGACCCCGGGCCTAAGCTCAAGGGCAGGGACATGGGATGTTTAAGGCCTGCTGACATCTCGTCTGGGGTCCTGACTCCAGGGAAGTGCCCTCGCCAGCGCCGGGCCCTGGAGCGGGGACAGCAGGATGAGGATGGTTACCGGATGAAGTTTGCCTGCTACTACCCCCGAGTAGAGTACGGTCAGTCTACCTGCCCACCCTTGGTGGTGGCTCTGTGTCCCTGCCAGTTAAGCCTGCTCCTCTCACTGGCCCACATGCAGCAGCTTTGTTCTTCTGGGCCTCAGGGAACTCACCTTCCCTCCTTTCTAATCCTCCCAGGCTTCCAGGTGAAGGTTCTCCGGGAAGATGGCAGAGCTGCATTCCGCCTCTTTGAGAGCAAGATCACCCGAGTCCTGCACTTCAGTATGAAGGGCGTCATGGCAAAGTGGGAAGGGATAGGGGCTGGAGCAGGACTGAATCCTGGGTTTAGGGCCCAACCTCACAGTTCTCAGGAGAGCCTGGCCTCCTGGAAAGTAATATCTTAGCTGAGGCTGAGCTCAAGCCTTCTGCCTCTTGGAACCTGGCACTTGTCCATAACCAGGAGCAAGCACGGTGTAGCTCTCCAGGGGGTGAGGGTTCCTTGAGACCTTTTCCTCCCCTCTGACATCTCTTGTGCACGTCATCTCCTCAGCTAATGATGTCAAGGCCACTGTTGGTCAAACTAGAAACTTCCTGGTCCGAGCCTCTTGCCGTCTTCGCCTGGAGCCCGAGAGAGAATATTTGATCATGGGCCTGGATGGGGTCACCTATGACACGAAGGGAGAGTAAGTACCCGGGGCCGCCCAGGCTCTTCTCCCTCCATGTCTTGGCCTTCCTTAGGGAGCAGGTCCCTAGCACCCAGGCCCTGCCCCCCTGGGAAACGAGGCACTCTGCACTCTCCTCCCCATCTGCTCATCCTCTTGACCTCACCGACTGCCCCCTCTCTCCTCTGCAGCCCTCAGTACCTGCTGGACTCAAACAGCTGGATTGAGGAGATGCCCTCCGAGCGCCTGTGCCGAAGCACCCGCCAGCGGGCAGCCTGCGTCCAGCTCAACGACTTTCTTGAGGAGTATGGCACTCAGGGGTGCCAGGTGTGAGGCAGCCCCCCCACCTCACCAGAGGAGCCCATGCAGGGCCAAGGGGAGGCCTGGTTATGCTGCTGTTTCCCCAAACACAACCCCAGGGCAGGGCTGGGGCATAATAAAGGCCTTTATAGCAAGGTATCCACGTGTGTCTCTAGAACTGAAAACAATATTCCAGCAGCCCATTCCAGGTTCAGGGTGGGGGCGAGGGTCAAGGCCAGGGTTTGCATCATCTGAGACTCTCAGAGCCTGATGATTTGGCATGTCCAGCTCTCCCCGAGCCCTCCCCAGTGGTTCATTATGGAGCTCAGTCCAACATGGGGCCTCCTGAGCAGAACCGTGGCCTCCAGCCTGCACCACAGGCCCCGGAGTCCACACTTCAGCTTTTTCTCCACAGTACTCTGCTGCCCATGTTGTCACCTCAGACTGGACTTGTGGGCAGTACCAGCTCAGCCCTCTGGCCATGGGAGATGCCATCCATCCACACATGCCCCTCTGCCTTTGTGTAGTCAGCTGTTCTGGGTCTATCAGATGAAAGTCTGTTGATTCTTGATCCTGTTACCAGGGTGGCATTAGGTAATTTCCCAAGAGTTTAGTTACATAATCATCAGATCCAATGATATCTTTGTTCCAGTTAATGGCTTTAAGGTAGCCACCAGTATTCTGAGGAGACTGCTGTTCGGCTGGGGTTAACCCTCCCCTCTACTTGGTGGCACATTGGGATGTGACCCAGAAATCAGTCCCAAGAAATGTATGTGAGGTCAGCTGTGAGGAAAATGGAGATGGTTCAGGAACCTGCCAGTCAGTCTTTCAACAGTAATTCCTGGAGCTCTTGCTCCATCCACCCCATGTTCTGTGCTAGGTCCCAGGTATACAGTTAAGAGCACACTCAGTTTACCATGGAAGGAGACAGACGTCCCTATCCTCTGTGACAAGTGTAAGTGAGGAGAGCTCCATGTCCCATAGGCACACAGTGTGGGAATCTAACCCAGACTGGAGGAAGAGTGCAAGGGCCAGGGAAGGCTTCCTGGAGGAAGTGACATCAAAGCTGGGTTCTGAAAGCTGAGAAACAGACAAGTAAAGTGAAGGTAGAAGAGTTAAGGCTGGAGGAGACAAGACAAAGAGTGGAGACAAGACATGGCCTGGGTCCAAGAGGTCAGCCAAGAGGGAGGATGCAATCGTCTCTGCCCAGCCCCAGCAAGCCCGCCCCACTTTTCTTTCCCCAGGTTTGGACTCAGGCCTCCAGCAATTAGCCAGTCAAACCAGCAGCACTGTGTGTGCTCTGAGTAAAGCTGCAGGGGGAGGAGGACTTCTTCCCTCTGTGCACTGGTGGCTGTTGCTCAGCTGAGTCTGTCTACAAAGCCAGGGCTTGGGAGTGGGGGACAGTATGAAAGGCTGTAAGCCAAGGCCAGGGCATTGGGCCACTTTCAAACCTTTGCACTTGAGACCTGCCACCACTGGCATGTCCTCATCCCAGGCACGTCAGGAAAGGTGTGCGTCAGGCTGTATGCTGTCTCCATACCTACTCAGTCTGTGTGCTGAGCAAATTATTTGAGAAGCTGGACTCCATGAAGAAGAATGTGGCATCAGGATCGGAGGAAGACTCATCAACCTGTATTATGCAGATGACACAGGCTTGCTTGCTGAAAGTGAGGAGGACATGAAATGTTTGTTGCAAGAGGGTCAAAGACCACACCCTTCAATATCAATTACATCTCATCATCAAGAAAACAAAAGTTCTCACCACCGGAGCAATAGGCTCCATTATGATAAATGAAGAAAGGATTGAAGATAGCAACTATTTCATTTTACTCAGATCCACTATCAACAGTCTTGGTAGCAGCGAGAACGCCGCGGCCAGACGGGAGAACGCCGCCACCAGACGGGGTTCCACCGCGAGAGGGGCCGGGAAGAGACCCGGGAAGAACAACAGCCAGCCACCTACCGCAGAACTCCAGAGGAGCGAAGACTGTGAGACCCCAGAGGAACGAAGACTACCCGACACTGTGTGACCCCCCTGCAACCCACACCTGTGTGACCCTTAACACACAGGGTGCTGCTGCATAAACCCCCAGCAGCGCCCAAGCCCCGCCCCCACCTCTTGGTGATAATATCCAAGCCCTGTGCTCATTACCCCCTAGTCCCTTGCTTTCCTCCCGTTCCCCCACCCCCCTTCCAGCTCCACAACCACACATCTCAACCCCCACCAAAGCCTCAGGGCACCACCTTGGATCCAGACATCACCCGGAGCTATCAGGCGAGCTGTTGAGGAACTAACCTGGCAGGAGAAAGGCCGGTAGGATCTTATCTGTGTTTACTGGGGCATTGCTGATTACCTGGGAGAGCACCTAAGGGCATGCCCACAGGTGGGGAATTTGGCCGAGCTCTCTTGGGCTACACC